CTTTTTTTTTTGAGAATTGAATGATATGTGTTGGTCATGAAAGTATATTGTTTGTTTCAAGTTCAGTGAACGATATAAATGGCCGTAGATTTCACTCCGAAGATCACGTGTTCAGAAATGTTATCATAGTTTGAGTTAAAGTCAGAGTTTCATTTCCTCTAATCTCTTCAAAGTTTCAGGCGATGCTAACTGGCTTCTTGTGCCCTCAGATGGAGGGGATGGGAGCGCCTACGGGCCCGGCATGGGCAATGTGGGCGTGAAAGGCGGGGCAGGCGCTGGGGTGGCCACCAGCGACGCCCAATACATGCAGCAGCAGAGTCAGATCTTTGTTTTCACGACGCACTTGGCGAACAAGGCTGCGGAGGCCGTCATGCAGGGCTCCTTCAACACCATCATCGCCTTCCACTGCGCGCAGCCCGGCACCAAGAAGCTGCTGGAGGTAAGGCGGCGCCGAGTTCGCGCTCTTGAGCCCTTGCCCGGGCGAGAGGCGGTGGGGACATCGTGAGAATCTGGGAAAAAGGGTTGGGTTTTCACGCGAGTAAGTCACTCGTTAACCGAAGCACATTCTCTTCCTCGCCCTTGCAGAAGCACCCGCTGAAGACGACGCAGTTCGTGCGCCAGAATCCCGCCCATTGGTTCAATACCTTAGCAATGAAAGGAAACAAAGGAGGACATGGCAAAGGACCCATGGCCCCGAATGGCCCCATGGGTCCCGGCGGTCCAATGGGTCCAGGCGGCCCCATGGGACCCAATGGCCCCATGGGAGACATGGGACCCATGATGGGTGGGCAGGTGAGTTCACTCGGACCTTCACAAAGTGTGGCCGAATTCTCTTCGAGAGCGTGACTGGAAATCTGAATCGTTTTTCCGAATCCTCACAGGGCGCTGATTAATATCTTGTTTTCTCCAGGGCAACGATGGCAGCATGATGGGCCCCGCGGGAGGAATGACAAGTCCCGGCATGATGGGCCCAGGCAACATGATGGGGCCCGGGCCGAACGGCGGGGCCGGAATGATGGGGCCGAGAGGCGGCATGATGGGTCCGGGCGGCCCTGGGCCCGGCATGGCTGGTCCAGGAGGCCACATGATGAGTCACATGATGGGCCCCGGAGGCCAGAGAGTGCAAGGTGAGATCTCGTCGGGTTTATGGGGTTTCGGACATGAAATATGCTTGCATTTTTTATTATTTATTTTCCCCCATTTCTATTGACTTTCAGTTTGACAAATCCAAAGGAAAAATATTTAATAGATACTATTGCCCTCTTTATACTGCCTATAGTTCTAGCTAAATCCTTGGTTGATATTTCAAACGTTATTTTTCTTTTCTATTTTTGTATATTTTTTCAAGCTGGCAAGTGTTTTTCCTCATTTACTTCGTTGTTGTTTTGAGCATGAAACTGTACTTTTGTTTTATCGTAAGTTTTGCCAGCTATCACTTTTCTTCATAGATTAGATCACACAGAGAGAGATGCGATAAAACCGAGTGTAACGTTATGCAATTAACCTGGCAGATGTGTCAACAGGTGTGAAGGTACCTGATGATCACTTGACACCCGAGCAGCGCCAACACCGAGAGGAGCAGATGGCCAGATTACGTCAGATGCAATTGCTTTTGTTGCCCGAGCTGCACTCGCCGAGCCAGAGCGACAGCAACCACTCGGGGCCGCAGCCCTCGTGCTCCGCCGGCTCCAACAACGCCAGCATGATGCCCTGCTCGCAGACGCAGGCGCCGACGTCGCAGACCTCCCAGACGGGCCAGCCGGGCACGCAGACCACGCCCGTCACCTGCATGGGGCCCTCCCCGGTCACTGGGATGGGGCCGTCCCCGGGAATGGGCCCCAGCCCGAGCATGGGCCCTTCTCCCGGGATGGGACCCAGTCCAGGAATGGGACCCAGTCCGGGAATACCCAATACGAGTATGGGCCCCGGCCCTGGAATGGGGCCACAAGGAGCCATGGGTCCGGGCCCGGGTATGGGGCCAGGAATGAATTCCGGGCCTGGAATGGGTATGTCGCCCGGGATGATGGGTCCCGGGGGCCCCAATACAATGGTGTCACAAAGTGGAGTGATGATGGGCCAAGGTCCCATGGGTAATAACATGATGATGACCTCGCAAGCTAACATGATGGGCGGCCCTATGGGTCCAGGTGTTCCTGGGATGAGAATGGGCCCGAATGGACCCCAGTCAATGATGATGGGCGGCCCAAACCCGGCGTCCTCCATGGCAGCACAGGTTGAGTGGCAAAGATTACAAGCTGAATTCTTCGAAAGCAAGAGGAAGAAGGGCGGCCCTGGATGCGGCGATAATTCCATGGGCCCGATGGGTCCGATGGGCCACATGGGCCCGGGAGGACCTATGGGACCTGGAGGACCCATGGGACCAGGGGGCCCCATGGGTCCTGGTGGGCCAATGTGTCCAGGAGGACCCATGGGTCCAGGAGGCCCCATGGGCCCTGGAGGCCCTATGGGCCCCGGTGGTCACATGGGACCTTGTGGCCCAATGGGACCTGGTGGCCCCATGGGTCCAGGAGGGCCAATGGGTCCAGGTGGTCCAATGGGGCCAGGAGGGCCGATGGGCATGGGAGGAGGCCCAATGATGCCAGGATCAATGGCCGGCATGGGCCCAGGAGGCATGAGAGGCATGGGCCCCGGCTCTCGCATGCAAGGTCCCCCTCCCCCGTACCATGGCCCGCGCCCTGTGGGTAACGGTCCTTTGCCATCCCCTGGATCCCCGTCCATGTGCGCCATGACATCGCCACGCATGCCTGGAGGAGGCCCAGGCGGAGGGCCCGGAATGAGAATGGCTGGGCCCGTGGACTCGCCGCGGCCGCTCATCCCCAGCAACCCAGCCACGCCCGTGAGCGGCCCGCCCATCACCAGCCCGTCTTTACCACAGAAGGACCAGCAGCCACACACACCACAGTCAGGTACGTACCGGAGGGGCTTCGGAGAGTGTAAACCGTAGTACTGTGCCACATGTTATTTAGGAATTGGAGAGCTAAGTATTGATATATATTTGTAGAGAAAAAAAAATGTTTAGATATTGATTTCCCGTCAAAGTGTAAATCTTTAAGGCATTATTGCTCAAGATTGGATCATCAGGTAAGGGATTTTCTGGTTTGAAAAGAAAACTTCTTAAAGTCATTGATACATTTTTTAATATATATATATGGGTTTATAAGATTAATTGTTCTGTACTGACTTCGCAAATACTGGTGCTAACTTATAATAACTTTACAGGTGACATGCCATTTGGAAGACAGTTGCAGAACTTTGCCCAGCAGAAACACCAAGGGGGCCCTCAGCAGCAGCAGCAGCAGCAGCAGCAAGGAGGGAAGGAGCCCAACCTCATGCCCGTGCCCTCGCCTCAGCAGATTCAGTACCTCAGTACATTCGAGGGACAGGAGCTCACGATACAGAAGCAGCCAAACACCAGTCTACGTGATTCAGATATCATGTCTCCGTTAGTATTGAGTTGTCTTGTGGGGATGTGTTCGTCCGTTTTTTATACAGGATTTCCTTAGTGCAATTGTGGAAACGGAAACACTGAATTTTCAGGATTCGGTTATATTTTCATTAATGATGATTTTGATTTGCTTTTTGTCACAAATATCACTTTTACAGAATAGTACAACCACTGTACTGCCTTGCTAATTATTAATGAAAAATATTTTGTTGCAGACTTGGGGATACAAGTGTAGCAGATGGTAGTCGAATGTCAGGCCCAACCACGCCCCTTGGGGGCCCAGCAACCCCTCTCACCCCAACCTCGGAAACAGGGCCTCGTTACACAGGGCCCAACACCCCAGACCGGTTTCCTGTGCCATCCCCGGGTATGCCAGTGGCTTCCGCACCTCACACTCCACAAGCCACGCCAGAGAACAAAGGGCCGCAACAGCGATACCCTGGCCCGTCGCCACAGGGCCAGCAGACGCAGCAGAATATCTCCACCTCTACCGCCACAACTCCAACCAACAATACTAGCAATAACAATAACAGCAATAACAACAGTAGTAGTGGTGGTGGCGGTGGCGGCAGCGGCGGCGGCGGCCAGAATGCGCAAGGCGGGCCCAAAACACCGTCAATGGACTCCAGATTCCCTGTCCCGTCACCCAAGACGCCGAGCATGTGCAGTGGGCCCACGACTCCCAGCGGACCAGACAATGTGAACAGGTTCCCCGGAGCCTCGCCTCTCCAGTCGGGTGGGCCAGCTGGACCCACAGGGCCTACGGGACCGACGGGACCCACAGGACCCAACACTTCTTCAGGACCTACAGGACCCACAGGACCAGCCGGCTCTGGACCAGGCCCGGGAGCAGGACCTGGATCCAACGCAGGGACAGACATGAACCCGATAGGAGCACGGTTCCCAGGACCAGGCAATGGGCCGGCCGCAGGCGCAGGGAACAACAACAACCAGATGATGAATAAGATGGGGAGTGGATTCTCCATGTCTCCGAGCAAGATGGGATCCATGGACATGGGAGGAGACTTCCATTCCACTTCTGCAGCCAACTTGCCTCTCAACCCCAACTGCAGCACCCCCGGGGGCCTGCCTACCCCTGGCCCCGGTAAAGTCTTCGATCCCATCTCGTCCATGGCGCAGATGAGTCAGCAGCTGACCTCGGGTGGATCTTCGCCTCCGGCGTCGTCCGCCCCCACGCCAACGATGCCCACTGGCACAGGACCCATGATGGGTAACAGTGGTCCAGGGACTGGACCTGGAGGTCCTCCAGGTGCGCCAGGTGGTTGTCTTCCTTCTGGACCGAATATGCCCAGTGGCCCCGGCATGGCAGGTGGACCTCCAATGTCTGCAGCACCAGGAATGCCCGGAGGACCTGGAATGCCTGGAGGGCCTGGCATGCCTGGAGGACCTGGAATGCCCGGTGGACCTGGAATGCCCGGAGGACCCGGCATGCCTGGAGGACCCGGCATGCCCGGAGGACCTGGTATGCCTGGAGGACCTGGTATGCCCGGAGGACCTGGCATGCCTGGCGGTCCTGGTATGCCTGGAGGACCGGGAATGCCAGGAATGGGAGGAGGACCTGGAATGCCCGGAGGCCCTGGCGGCATGATGGATGGCCCTGGCAATATGATGGGCATGCCCGCCGTGTCAAGCAGCCCGGGGATGATGCAAGGCCATGGGGCGATGACTTCCCCAGTGAACAGTAGTGGTAGTGGACCTCGAGGAAGTTCTCCAAGCAATATGCCCATCATGAGTGGGCCAAACCCTCGCATGGGGGGACCGAATAACATGGTGCGGCCCCCTGCTCCGAACTGCACCATGGCTGGGCCATATTCTGGTGCCAATGTGCAGGTAAAACCCAGTGCCCCTAATACCATACAGTACCTGCCTGCCAGACCACAGAACACTGGTAATGGCCCCAGAGGACCTGTGAGCTTGGACTTTATACCGAAATTTAATAATCCTAATGTGGACAGTAAAGTGCCCAATTCTCCTATGTTCCCTAACAGTAGTACTCCTAATTCTATGTGTGGGCCTAATGTGCCAATGTCGACTATGGCTATGAGTGGGCCTTGCGGGCCAATAAGTGGACATATGCCTGGACCAATGAATGGCCCAGGTGGACCAATGGGTGGGCCAGGTGGACCAATGGGAGGCCCAGGTGGACCTATGTGTACGATGTCAGGACCTAATGGACCAATGGTGAACATGAATAACACGATGAGTGGACCCAATGGGCCTTTCCCCATGTCCGGACCAGGAGGCCCCATGGGAGGCCCCAATGGTCCCATGGGCATGGGGCCGAACGGTCCAATGGGTGGCCACATGGGAGGGCCAGGTGGGATGAGTGGACACAGCGGGCCTATGATGGGCCCCAATGGACCGATGGGTGGACCAAGTGGACCGATGATGGGGCCGAACGGACCAATGGGGATGAATCAGAACATGATGAGTGGCGGGCCGATGGGTCCCGGTGGCGGGATGATGGGTGGCCCTCGCGGCGGGGCAGGGATGATGCGCGGGCCGAGCCCCGGGGGGATGATGACGGGGATGGGCAGTGAAATGTATCCCATGGGGGGGCCAGGACCGGGCATGCCTGGCGGCCCAATGCCAACCGGCCCAGGACCCAACCCTGGTGGGCCGAACCAGATGATGAGTGGATCCGGACCCATGTATGGCCCCAAAACGTCTCCTGTGGGCATGAACATGGGGGGACCTATGGGTGGTGCGCCAGACGCTGCCCAACCCCTCCCGCCGTCTATGGGTCAGTCTGGTAATTTCAAGAACTCGCCATTTATGGGGCCCACTACTGCTGACCCCACCTATGCCGCCCAGTTCCACAGCTTCCAGCAGCAACTGTATGCCACCAACACCCGTGGGGGTCCCAACATGCACATGCCTGGACCCATGAGTGGGCCTGGTGGGCCAGGAGGGCCTGTCGTGACAGGGCCACCAGGAGGTTCCAACGTTCCTGGCCCTGGGCCCATGCCTGGCCAGGGCTTCCCGTTTAACCCCAAGTGAGGCGCGGGGAAAACTACCTCACAGGTGACCTGGTGCTAGCAGCTGCCGCCCAGCACACTCACCACTATGCAAGTCAACCCCTCCCTCCTCCCCTGCTGGTCTGCCAGTGGTGGTGGTTGTGGCGGTGGTGGTGATCCTGCTCAAGTGTGGTGGTGGTGGTGGTGGCGTGCCCCCCTCCCCTGCGGCCCCCCCGCCCCCCTGACCAGTGACCCGTGGCGGGTGTGAGGGTCGCCCCCCCCACCCACCCGTGTGCCCGTCCAGTGGTGGGGTCGCCCCCCTGCCCCGCACAGTCCACTCAGTTCTCACTTTTCAGGGCAACTTGTAAGTTTGTAGTTTCAATACTGTTAACGGGGTGCTTTGTAGTGTAAGTTATTCTTGCTCTGTTCACCTATCTATCCTTCAGTGGTTGTTGACTGCTTGAAGATTTATTGCCAGTGCAGTGTTGTGGTGGAACCCAGATGATGTGGCGTGGCTCAGGTGTCAAGGAGTGGTGGCCCTGACAACAAACGGTTTGAGCCAGCTGTGCATTCGCCACACATTCTGATGTACTGACTAGACTCTTGCCGGTGGTTCTGGTGTTCCCTCAAGCAGCCTTGAGTGGCTGCTGCTCAGAGGCACAGCCATTAGAAAGCCACCAGTGCTGTGTGACGGTGCAGCTAAAAGACTTCGTTATCCTTGTTTTACTGAAGTAAAGTTGTTTTCCTAAACCGACAATCAGTCTTGTCGTCATGTGTGTGGGGGCAGACTTTGATACTCTGCTTGTGGATTATGCTGCTGATGAAACGTTGAACAGCAGAAAATACAATAGGCTGGTTGTGCCATGGTCATTTCCAGCATAAAATGCGTCATGGAAGGTGCTTCTTCTGCCCCACTGCACTGGTTGATCAAAATGTCTACTATGACATCAGCATTGTACAAATTGTTGAGCCCTCTCTCATACCACACTTACATCCACTGCAATGCAATATTCATGAATGCAGCTGCTTACTTGATGAAAGTGATTTTGTTTAATGGATGTAAAGTCCAGGTTAAGTTCATCCCTTAGAATGGTGAATATTTGTATGAACCTTCTTTGTATCATTGTAAAGTTTGTATTATATGTAAGTTTTTGTGTTTTTTTCCTTTTTGTTTGTTTTTTAAGGTCACACTTCTGAAGCTACGGGCCGACCCTGATGTTTTGGCAGTATTTTAGAATGTAATTTGAAGGATGTGAACATTTTTATTATTGACAAATTTTACATAAAATAATTTTACAAGAAATTGTTTGTATTATTGACCTACATGACACTAATGCATCTCTGTATGTTAGATTTATAGCAAAGCCAGACATTGATTATGAAAGTTTAAAACTTTATTCAGTTAATGGAAAAATGTACACAAAACCACACATCCACTAAACACATGAAAATGGTTTTAAACTATGAAAAAAAATATATAATTTGTAAAACCAGGAAAATATGGACACACTAATACTTATTGTATGTACTGCTGATGGATTTATAAGATCGTTTTTCAATCATAACTTCAGTGATGCTCTGACAAAATTTGTAGAAAAAAAATAAAAAATCTACCTATATGTAATAAAGATCAGTATATAAACTAAGGATGAAAATAAGCAGAGCTATAGTATCAAAACCGTTTCTCTCTCATTGCATGGCTGACTTCTCATTTCCAGCTTTTAACACGAATGCTTTTTTTGTATGATTTTACAATGAAAGCTAAATAAATTAGTAATTCATTCTCATATGTCATCTCTTATGTTTAGAGAGTGCAAAATTGTTAACACTAAAGTGGACACATAAAAAACGTTTTCAATTGATGGGAAATAATAAATATATGCATGCATATCCTTTAATGCCTACATTCTAACTTGCACTCACTCCACCCCTTCCTCTCTCTCTTTTTCTTTCTCGCCACACACACACATTACACCACACTGCACTCACTCACTCTCATTCACTCTCACATTTACTCAACCATTCACACTCACTCATAACCATAACATGTAAAAATAAATGCCAAGGGTAAAGAAATATAAAACAAGAATAGAAGAAAAGAAAATCTGTAAAAGCAATGCGAGGATAGGAAATTTAAGGTCAAAACAGAAACACCAGAAAAGAACACAGGATTTATCACTTCAAAATGAAACTGGGTATCAGACAAGTCTTTTTTTCTTTTCTTTTCTTTTTCCTGATCACTGATTGCCATGGAGTATTTGCAAGTCATTGCAAAGTAAAAGTCATTGAAATGTATAAATGTTTATAGCATAGATATAAATGCATTCACTCTAAACAAAGTGAGAATATCAATGAAAAAGAGGTCAAGCTACATGTAGGACCAAAAACTAAAATGGTCAGATAAAAAAAAAGCCTAATTGTTGGAAAATTATTAATTTTAATACATAAGATCAATAGCATTATGTACACCTTGAAAATCTTGGCGCACATAGTAAATTAAATTTCAATCAATTTGACTGCATGCAAACTTTAGAAGTATCAATTTAACATTCTTCTCATCCATTTAATTATGCAAATGAATTATCTGAGATTACATAAATTAAATATTATCCATGTTCTGGATTTAATGAGAAAGCTACCTTTAAACAAACCTTATTAGTAATACAATAATCTTTAATAATAGAGTAAATGGGTGAAACAATTTCATGCGAGCCATTTTACAGAATAAGAATTTTTTTTTTACAGAAGAATAATTTTTCAATAACTAAAATTGGGAATAAAAAAATATACATCTTGACATCATAAAATGATACTCAGAAAATTATGACATGGTATAATTTGATATAACTAACCATAATGAATAAAAAATAAAAAAAATACTGAGAATTTTGAATAGTGAACTGACTGAAATCAGAATAGCCAGCAAGATGCACACACACACAAAGAATAACAGAAAAAAGGACAAATATATATCACTACCAAGATTTATTTATTGAAAAATTTCTGCTGCGTCAACATACAAGGTTATTAGCAGCATTTTCAAAATATAGTGATAGGGTAGAGCTTGGAGGCAAAGCCCCTGGGTAAGGAAGTTTTTTAGTTCATAAGGCGAGGTTTGTGGATTCCTAGAATGTTTAATGTTAAAACAAATAAATGTGCTAGACAGGTCATAGAGCATTATGATAAAATATTGTGGCAAAAACAGATAATGGACAAGTGTACTGGACTGGATTTTTTTTTATAAAAAAATATTACAAAAGTATTCAGTTCTACTGTTTCATATTTATAGAGATTTTAAAATGTATATTATCATTATCATGGACTACAGTATGGGGATTTTAATGAAGGAAAGAATCTTTGAAATTGCCAAAGACTGGAAAATTCCAAAGGGTCCATAACGCACAGGAATTAATCCTGACCTAAAACAGAATGACAAATCTCAGGAATCCCTCTACAAAACCACACAAGATGAAGAAAAGAGGAACAGAATAATAAGCAAGGAAGGGATAAGACACTGTGGCAAACTGATGGGAAGGAAAACATGCAGAAAGATAACTTGTATAGAGAAGTAACAACTGATGCGTGGTTTATGCTTGGAAGAAGAAAGAAAGAAAAGAAAAAGAAAAAGAAAGAAAAAATAATCAATCAATCAATCAAATAAATGTGCTTAGACATCAAAAGTCATGAAGCACTTAAGAAAACTGATGTGTGAATATGAGACGATACAACCATAATCAACACAAACATAATTCTCTATACTAATACATAAATTTGTTAAGAGTTTGGTGAAACTTACAATGAGTCTGTATGCATTAATGCCCCCTTAACCAGAGATGTGAAAAACAAACAGATAAAGGACAAGTGTACTGGACTGGATTTTTTTTTATAAAAAAATATTACAAAAGTATTCAGTTCTACTGTTTCATGTTTATAGAGATTTTAAAATGTATATTATCATTTACTACCAATGGACTACAGTATGGGGATTTTAATGAATGAAAGAATCTTTGAAATTGCCAAAGACTGGAAAATTCCAAAGGGTCCATAACACATAGGAATCAATCCTGACCTAAAACATGACAATCTCAGGAATCCCTCTACAAAACCACACAAGATGAAGAAAAGAGGAACAGAATAATAAGCAAGGAAGGGATAAGACACTGTGGCAAACTGATGGGAAGGAAAACATGCAGAAGGATAACTTGTATAGAGAAGTAACAACTGATGTGTGGTTTATGGTTGGAAGAAGAAGAAAGAAAAGAAAAAGAAAAAGAAAAAGAAAAAATAATCAATCAAATAAATGTGCTTAGACATCAAAAGTCATGAAGCACTTAAGAAAACTGATATGTGAATATGAGACGATACAACCATATTCAACACAAACATAATTCTCTATACTAATACATAAATTTGTTAGGAGTTTGGTGAAACTTACTATGAATCTGTAAGCATTAATGCCCCCTTAACCAGAGATGTGAAAAAAGAAGGGAAAAAATTACCAAAGAAACACAAGAGAGGAAAAAAATACTTATTGGTTAATGCTTAAAACAAATAAATGTGCTAGACATCAATGGTCATTATACCACTATGGTAAATTACAATGGCAAAAAAGGTAAAAATGAGTTAACGATTAGTCTAAGTGAACTGAAGAAGGGGACAAAGTAGAGAAGGAAAAAGAAAGGGGGAGAAGAAAAGACCAAGCAGAATTAGTTCAGGCGAGGGCTGAGGGCCAAGGCAGGGGGATCCCCTACATTGGGCCTTAGTTCCCATCTCCAAAGCCCCCCACAACAACAGGCAAGGGATTGGAGGGGTACACTTGTGCATATTAATTATGGTGTTATTTCTATAGTAGTAGTCACACACTAAAACCTAAAGCAACTTGCAGATATCTAGACCATGATATTATATCGCTTGTGCACTGAACTAGATTTTTATCTTCATACTAAATATTTAAACAAGGCTGATGCATGCTTTAAGTATTTTATGAACACCAGTATAAAATGTTCAACTCGTGGGACTGACTGAGAATATGTAATCCTAAATTACCTCTTCATTAGTTTTGATGTATCTCAAGGATTATATATATAATCCTATCTGTATTAAAAAATACAACTGTTAACACTGTCACAAACAAAAATATCAATCACCATATTAACTTTCTTTTTAATGAGTAAACAGATATCTTGGGTTAAAAATTGGTCAGTGTGAATCTGGATAAAATATGCATCTTTTTCCAATAAAAAGTAATCCCCAAAATCACAAGAACCCTTCCTGTGACTTCTAATAAACAGTCATGTGCATGTAATAAACCTATCTCTTTTTTCCATTTGTACATTGACCTTGCAAGAGCAAACAAAGCCTTTACCCCAAAATCTGACTTCTAGAGAAATTATATATTAAATACTGATCATACAGAAAGGTATATTCTTAGATATAGTGGAATACTTAGCCCAGTGATTCCATGCCAGCTAAAACACTGAAAGGTCTAAACTCTGGGGCAAAAATAAATGTGGTAACACACACCACATGCCAGGCAACTGATGAGACAATGAGTTAACTTTTCCCTGGTTATATTTCACACCAGTTATGAATTTGAACAAGTAAGTCAGAGAAACTGCAGTAGGTTAAAGAATATGAGGAGCTGTAGGTGTGTGAACAATTCACACCATATATTCATGTAAAATATGAAAAGTAAAAGAATAAAACAACTGATGAAACATTCACATTATAATAATGCCAGGGTTATGTCAATGAAACCTGGCATCCCACTCCATAATTTTTTCACTGATTCTATACTCACCTAGTTTTACCATCAATTTATAAATTGTAGTCATGGAAACTACTATACCATTATTGATAGAGAAATCAATAAATAAAAGGAGAAAATCAAAAGAGTGGATGAAAGAGAGAGGGAGAGATAGACACAATAAATTTAGGAACAAAGGAAACTATACTGTTCCAGAACACTCAGCAAAAGATGGAGTAATCACATTAGGCAAAACAAAGAATAGCAAAATATATAACATCAAACCTGCTTTACTATCCATAGTGAATTGTAATAATAATCATTGAAGGATTTGTTAAGATATAAAAATCCTCACTGCATTCACAAAATATGTATTTGACCTTAAAAGCATTCACAAAGACAAATATCAATATTCAGTGATAACCAATTCAACATTTGAACCTGAATATGAAAAAGGAAAAATATAGATATAGTACAATTGGACCTTGCTAGACCACAATACTAAGTCTCGAAATGAGTAAGACACTTACTAGTACAGATACTGAGGGACTAAGAAACACAGAGCCAAGAACAGGCAAGGGTCAAATCCCTACACGTCTGATATGTAGTAAGGAACAGAAAGTGGTAGTGGAGAAAGTATTACATTTTACAGTTCCTAAATTATTCTTCTGCATCTTGAGATTTCATTAACAAACACACTACAAGAACCTCAGCAGTATCTATTGTATATGTATTGCATGGACAAACAAATGCACTTTGCATTGTTTTTTGGCTTTTTTTGAAGCAAATAAAACAACAATAATGATAAAAACATATCTGTATCTAGATATAAACTTTTATTCCAAATATCAACAAGATGTACCTCATGAAGAAATGAGTGAGAGGAAGAGAGAGAAAAATCAAATTTCTTAAAAATCACTGCAGAAAGGAAGAAGAAAACAACCCCAATAAGCAGCATGTAGTGAAGCCTCTATCCGGAAAAAGAGTAAATAAACAAATGCCTCAAAACCATCAGCTGATACATTTATTGGCATAACATAAATTCCAAATGAAAATGGTACAGGCTATATTCGCAGACGATCACCGTCTTCGCTCTCCCTTCTGTGTGCGTTTCTTCTCCTTCTCTTTTCTTTCCTCGTCTTTGGACTTCTGTTTAGCTCTAAAGAGAGGAAGAAAGAAAGAAAAAAAAAGATGAGCAAGAATAAGTTCAATACCATGAAAATCAGACTTATATCCTGTAGTAATTAAAACCATTTAACCCTCAAAAATCAAGTTGCTTAAGGCAGTATATTGTCAACTGTTGGTTCTGGGTGATGTGACCATCACATCATGAAAAAAAAATTTGTTGGTAGCTGTGGTGATAGGAATATGCCATCATGGAAAGATTTGACTGACAGCTGGGGTGACAGGAATATGTCATAATAAAAAAAATGGCTAAAGGACAGTTTGTTGGGAATGACTGTCAATGGGTGCCCAGAGCTCTTGGAGGGTGAGTAGATTATGTAGGCATTTATGAAGGGGCTCTAGCATTATTCTGAACATCTAAATTCCTATTACTTATTCCCTTCTTATTTTGATGTTTCTTCTTGTGAAATAGTTTTTTTTTAAGACTGGACAAATATTGTGCTAGGACAGATTACTCTATTCTTTATAAATCAAAAGATTTCAAGATTGAAAAAAAAAATAATAAATAAATAAAAATAAAAAATAAAAAATAAAATAAAACCTATGACCTGGATGACGTCATGAAAAAATTTAGCTTAAGGTTGGGGTGACATGAACATGCCATCTGGCTGAGGGCTGGCGTGACAGGATCTTGCTGTCATGAGAATTTTGGTTGAAGGCCAGGGTGATGGGAATGACTCATCACAGGTGCACAAAGCTGACTGGACTCATTTGGCATTTAAGAAGGGACTTTTGCATTATTTCCATCGAAAAATGGAATGTACAATCCACGAGCCACAACTGGAAAAGCACCAGTTCCAGGGAGGACGCTATTTCCATGCTCTGGATTTTATCTCCATCTGCTGTGACTGGTGGTGCAGGATGTATTACCGAAAATTGAATATTAGGAAAATTGTTATTTATTACTATCATTATTGCACTGAGTTATGGACTACCTAGTGAGATGATAGGGAGCCTGTGCTTGGGAAACAATCTACTAAAATCTGGATATTGCAAATCAAATGACAAATATAGACATTGGAAAATGGCAAAAAAGCTAAAAACACTTATGAAAAAAAAGAAGGGGGGGAGGCATACCAGCTACACACCCATCATAGTGACTACTTAAGTAAGCCTAACGCCTGTATTTAGGGCCAAGTGCAGACAATGAAGCATCAGGATCCAACAGGCTAATAAATCATAATCAATAATTAACCACTTACAGGAAAATCTTATTCACCAACAGAAACCTCAAGGGATTACCTTTCTGAAGCCATTTGTTACATCAAAAAATAACAATCCTGACCCCCCCTTATCCCCCCCACCCAAAAAGAAAGAAACAAACACACACACACACACAGATGTGACTGAGCTTAAAATCTAATTGGTTCTCATGCACTTTCCAATGACATGAATTATTACCAAACAATAATAATAACCAAGTTTATCAATTCCCAAGGTTGTAACTGCATGCTTTGGGACAACAGAACCAAAATTTCCCTCAGCCTCTCCTTCCAGACTGCCTTCCAGCTTAGTTGGCACTGAGAAGTCATGCCATGTGATATTGAGTTCATGTTACTATTCTAACATTGAGATTTTGCTGAGTTCTCTAGAAAAATTATGTTAATTTACTTTTTGATTTTCTT